TTTACCGAAAATTTAAAACTCAACTGCGTGAGAAAGCGCGTCGAAAGCGAGACAGTGACCGAAGCGCTTATTCGAAATGGTTTAAATAATTTGAGGCCAAGAATTAACAGCAGTTTAAAAGTTCATTTGAGTCTTTATTTGACCCCATCAAATACCTGTGCCGTCTATCCCAGGGAAGAAAATTTGAAAAGTTCAAGGCTGTAAATCCAACACTAGAATGTATTCACAGTGAGGCTCACTATCATTTTAGGAAATTATTCAAAGGAAATGAATTTTATTATTTTCTTTCACCCCTCTCCCCCTATCCAATGTTGCCAATGTTTCTATGCCATCTTACTGAACAATATTGAGAGGGTCAGGGGAGGCCAGAAGGTGTCCCAACAAATGTGTCTGGGAGTGAAAATAACTATCATCAAGTCGTGGTGGAGTTCTACCGTTTTACGAGTAAAGTCCGGGTCAAGAGTCAAGTTTTTCTTTTATGCGTGAAAATGATGCACTAATGTCTACAGAACACCTAATTTGAGACTTGAAACTTTCCATTTTCTTACAGCCGTTTGCTAGGGCTGATCCAGCATCGGTTCACAGCTGCGGTCAAAAAAGTAAACATTCGTAGGCATCTACGAGTTGTTCTCGTAGATTACCTCTTTTAATTACTCACACCTGAGGTAGAAGTCTTATTTCAGTGACTGTGTAAATGGACTCGAAGCGTAAAAAAGAATCTCGGCTTTTCTCGCTCACGACCGCCATTTTGTTGCATCTACTGGGATCCCATTGAAAAACAACACTACAAGCCCCGAATAAAATTGAGGAGAACAGATATTTACCTGTAAAATTTTTGTGTCACCGAAATGATCTTGTCCTACTTTTCTTGTTTGTTACAGGTTTCACTTTTCAAGATATTCGAAGCATCACAAAGTTATGGCCGGATACATCGTTACGAAATTTGTGGAATACATAACGCATGATATATTCTTTGCCATGTGTATGAAAAGGACGTTGTAAAACAATACGGTCCAATTCTTTCGTTGTTATCAGTTATGGCTTTCACTAGGGTTCTACTGAACATCAGTAACACCTTTTGAAACGTTTTGAAAACTTCGCGATAATTTTGTAGCACCGTAACAACGCTAAAGTAGCGATTTATAGTGCTTGTTTGTTTTGCTTAGCTTTCTCCTTTTTAAGGCTACAATAATAGTGTATTGCCTATCGATGATTTTATAAAAAAAAGAAAAAAATTGAATTGACTCGAACTTGACTCGTGACTCGAACGTGACTCAAACTTGACTCGTGAAACGGTATAACTCAATCGTAGTTTACTAAATTCGAGATCATCGGTGAAGGCCTGAAAACATTGAAAACATTTCCGTTGAAAACATTTTGGATGGGTCCACTGACCTAAATACAGCTTGGATAATCGAGTCAGGTAATGTTACCCAAGAACCCCGAAGAACCAATTGGTGAGAGCGCGCAAATAAACTCTCGGTTTCCTTTCACTCCAGACCGTTGAGGAGTTATTATTTATCAAAACTTGCTTAGAAAACGCAAGAGTTCTGGTGCCTCTTGAAATAAATGAATGAAACGTGAAACGTCTCTTGAAAGCTGCTCCTCTTATGAAAGGGAGTCAATAACTTTGGTCATGTGGTTTTCAATTAAAAAAATTTCTGACTCTATCGGTCTCCTTAATTGCCTAATTTCATCGTCAAAAAAAAATAATAACCTCACAAGAACCACAATGAAGGGAAAATGGTGTAAGAATGTAAAATTAACTGAAGTGTCATCCAGCAGGTCTCCAAGGCATAAAATCCCACTTTTTGTATTAAACCCTGAACTACTAGCGAGGTAGTCATAATATGAATTCATTCCGGTGTCTTGTCGTTTGCTGTGTAATTCTGAAAGAACACCATAAACCAATTGTTTGAGAACCACTTCGTCACAACCATCGCCTAACAAAAACACACATTCAGTAAGTAACGATATTCCTTCGTCCACGAAGCCACAGAGTGCCTGGTGAACTCCTTGGTAACATCTTAACTTCATTGGACAATCAGTGCGGATACAGAGTTCCTGCAGTGTATCTTCCCACGTTTGATCTGGGTTTTGTTCTGAGGAGAACCATCCCCAGTATCCGAAGGCTTTTGCACCTAAAAGTTTGCATTCATCGTCAACGTTTTGTCTTTTCCTTGCTTCCATCAACGCGGAATTGTAGAGGTTACAAAAGTTGCATTTGTCTTCTGTTAGCAAACCGTAAAGAAACAGCTCTGACTTAGACAGTATATCCACCACCTTTGAGTAGAGCTTGTCTTCTGTTGTTCCATTAGTAAGCGATAACATAATGCTCTCCCGCCGATCAAAAAATTCTTCGAACGCTTCGCTAGAATTGCCTGTTAGGAATTTTTCATTAGCGATACCGAATAGGGAAATGTAATAGTCATAGAACCGGAATTGTGTTGCAGAAAATACAGTATCAATCTCTCTGCGGTGGGTTCTTTGCTCTTCGACAAAAGAGCGGAGAATAGAATGCATAGTAAAGCGACTAAAGCTGTCTGTGGAATCTATTAATGCCTTTCTTTCCAATGAACGAAAAACTCTCTTGGCTTTCATTTCGGTTGGTAAATCTAACACTTCCAAGGCTTCCTTCAATGAAAAGTAACTTGGGAAAACAGCTAAGGAAACGAACGCATCTTTCTCGATGGGTGTGAGTCTTTTAAGTGATTTTTCGATAATGACTTTCAATCGAGCATCATCGGAATAATGTTCATTGTCCAAAACCTCAACCAGAGGTGAAACCTCTAGTTCTTTTAGGAATTCCCTGACCGAAACATTTTCTTCGGTCATCGTAATACACATTAATCGTATGGCTAGAGGGACTCGTTCGCATATCTTTACTACTCCATTGCAGTCACCGTCAGAAACAATCGGTATAAGAAGCCTTACCAGTGCACCTGAAGCAATCTCATCCAGTCCACAAATTTTCTCCTGATGCATAGGAAGCTTCAGGTTCAAAGAGTCAAGGGACTCACGCGAAGTGATAATAAGCTTCAAATGATTGCATTGGGCAACAATCTCGGTGATGAACGTCATAACTCGGTCTTTAATTGTGACATCTCCAGATTCTAACAGATCATCCGCATTGTCTAAGATTAAGACAAATGGATCTTGAAATCGTCGCAAACACCGAAAAAGACAATCAGCGGGTGAAATATGCGGCACCTGATTTGCGTCCGAGAATATGCAGAGCAACCTTGAAACCAGGTCATCTTTACTTTCCATTCCACGCAGGAAGTAAAGTACACTGGAATATGCTTCATCTCTCGTAGGTAATGTGCCACGTTAATGGCCACAGACGTCTTTCCAAATCCTGGAGATCCCCAGACATCAACAAGTCGAGTGGTCCCATTGGTTAAATGATCCACAATTGCATTGCATTCGGCTTCACGACCAACGAAATGAGGTATTTTATCAGGCACACAGGATTCCGGTAGAAATTGACCTAAAGGACAAATTTTTAAATGCGATATGAGCCTCTTTCAATAATCGTCAGTAAAGGGTATATAAGAGAGCATTAACCGGCAAGATATTCGTAACTTAGTTACTCCGGTATCTCACGCCTTAAAGGATCACATGGACCTGCGCCGTTTTATTTGAGACCACGATCTTAATAAACGCTTTTCTGAACTCCCTGCGTCACAAATTTATTTAAAAGCCTTCCTCCTTAAGGTCGTCGTAAGGTTTCAGAAACCCTCTGACGGCACGCGAAGGCTGTGTCTAGAATTAGTAAAAAATACTTCTCAGTTCACTGCATTCAGTCATTCAGACGAAAGGATGATCGGCACGGTTACTTGAGTGTAACTTAACCATCGCTCCGCAGTTTTGAAAGTTTGTACTAATCTAGGCAGACTTGATATTCAAGCTTACCTCTAGAACATTCTCCTTGCATTTCTTGTTTCATGTCAACAAACTCAGTCTTCAAAACCTTTACCTCCTTCGAAAGATCTTTTTACTTCGAAATTTACGTCTTCTACTCTTGTCTTCATATCTTTTACGTTTGACCCGACATCTTCCACTTGAGTCTTAACATCTTTCATTTCTGCGCGAACATTCCCCACTGGAGCTTCTAGATTTTTGATGTCTGACCAGACTGCTTCTACTCGTGTCTTAACATCGTTAATTTCTGATCCAACATCGCCTACTCGAGTCATCACACCTGTTACTTCGGTCTTCATATCTGATGCATTATTTTCCATTCTTCTCCCGACATCTTGTATTTCCAACTTCAGTTCCTTCATGTCTAACCCAACATCATGTACTCTTGTCTTGACATCAGTTACCTCAGCCCTCACATTTTCTACGTTTGAATCGATTTTATTGAGGTGTTCATCGATCAGCTCAAACTTGATGGCAGCATCTTTTTCTTTCTTCAGTTCGTCTTCTAGCTTTTGAAGTCTTGTAGTAGGAAACTCTTCCTCGCCCATGTTTCCAATCTCATCGAGTTTAGTGGTGCTTTGTCCCAATGCAGTAAAGGCATCTTTTGCCAGCACAATGTAATTATCAAAGGTTGCTTTGTCAATCTTTCTCGTAGTTACC